GAATCCTACTTCTGTTCCTGTGTGATCTTGGGCAAATTACTTAAATTATCCGGGCCTATTTTCTTTATCTGTAGAACGAGAAAGTTGGATTAAATGGTCTCTAAGTGCACTTGCTTTCTAATCTAAATATGTGATCTTATGATCTTATGGAATGTAGAGAGAAGAGATGTGAGCCAAACATAGAGGCATGCCCATGCTAAGGTGTTAGGAATAGAAAGAAGAGCCTGAGAAAAGGACAGAGAAGGGATACCTTAGAGAAGTAAGAAGTAACCAAGAAGAGTGAAATGTCTTAGAAGCCAAAGGACAAGGAAGTATCAACAGAGAGGTGGTTGGCTGTGTCAGAAGTTGCAGGTCTGTCAAAGAGGCCAAACACTGAGAAAAGATCACCATGACCTTCGAAATAGATGTTTCAGTTGAGTTGTTGCTACTGAACAGGTTTGTATAAGGTATTTCAGGACAGGACCTGAGCAGATTGTGAGCAAGCAGTATGTACTCAGGAAATATTTGCTGAATTGAAAGAAACAGAAAAATGATGGTATAATTCCTTTATATTTCAAATCTGATTTAGTGAATGAATATTCCCTTTTAGATGTCTACATATAGTGAACTGAAAAAATCAGAATTTCTCAATCCACCAAAAAAATCTAGAAGTACCACCATTTTTTGTCTTGGGGATTAGAGCCTGTAAATAAACTTGGATGGGAGGAGTGATGCCCTTTCTTATAAGTAGCAAATGCAAAAAACCAAAGTAACAAAACCAACCTCATTTGTGCCTTCAGAGGGTACATTGTTGATATGAGTTCACAGGAGCTGGCCAGAGAGAGCCATGTTCTTCAGCAATTACTCTTAGAATACATATAGAACTCTGAGGCCCTTATATTAGACTGTCCACATATCTGCAGCTCCAGAGAGGGAAATAAAATGTTCTGCTTGTTCAATTGGTTATGTTCCAGTCCAGGAATGGCTTGGTTTATATTGTTTGGGGTATTTTGTTTCTATCAGATCAGTTGTTAGCAGAAATACATCTTGACAGCTAGTGCCCCCAGTACATGCCAGGGATGACAGAGCACTTTAAAGGGCTGTGTGTATTGTGATATCAGCATCTAAAGTCAAATACTTTTCTACCTCATTCCCCTTACATCAGTTCCTGTCTTAGATCACACTTTCGTTTTGAATAATGGCAATGTCCAATATGCCCAAACTGCCTTTTATAGTCAGCCTACTCCAGAATGGGCTGATCTGCAAATTAGATTATGTATTCTAGGATAATTAAGAGCTCCCTACAAAAATAGGCATAAGAATTTAGAATACCATTTGAACAGTAGGTAAAACAGGTCCCAAATGCCTCTTCAACAAATTACAGTTCCTTAAGATGCAATGAGTATGGGGCTAGGATATCAAAAGTAAAGATTATGACTTTTTTTCTTTTTAAACTTTTATTGTTAATCTTTAAAACAAATCAATAGAAATAGGTCCCTCCACCCCCACTTCCTCTTAAGCTGAGGAGTGCTCCAAGAGTTTGTGCTAGGAGTTTGCTATCATCCACCAGTCATTCCTCCTCTTCCTCACAGAGCTAAACTGTCAATTTCTATTAGACATCATAAGAAAAGCCTTGTGGTATAGTGTTGAGAGAGCCAGCCTTGGAGCTATGAAGATCTGAGTTCAGGCCCTTCCTCTGACACACAGTGACTGTCATTTGATACCTCAGTGCTTTAGACCAGGGCTTCTTAAACTTTTTCCACTCAAGACCCCTGTGCGCGTGCTTTGTGTTCAGAACCAAGGCTGCAGTGAAATTGCTACATCCAATATGGGTAAGCACTGACAGAAATACCTTGGATTCATTATGCATGTGATTTTGAATTAATTTTTGGTTGTTGCACATTCAGAAACCTTTTATTGTTGCCAAATTTTTTGCGACTCATATGAGGTCAGGACTCACAGTTTAAGGACTGCTTTAGACAACTCTTTAAGACAATAGTTGTGGAGGGGCAGTTAGGTGGCGCACTGGATAGAGCACCAGCCCTGGAGTCAGGAGGACCTGAGTTCAAATCTGGCCTCAGACATTATAACACTCACTAGCTGTGTGACTCTGGGCAAGTCACTTAACCCCAATTGCCTAACCAAAATAAAAAAGAAAAAAAAGAAAGTAAAAAGACTAGTTGGAGAAAAGGAGCTAACATGCATTGATATAAATAAGCAGCTTCTTCTAGGAGTTTTTTATACTAGTCAAATCAAAGGTCTATTCCCTACCTACCCTTACATGCTATCCTCCCCACCCTCCGAACACATATCCTCCTGTTTTTCTTTATTAGAAAGCAATGAAAGACCCTGTCTATCTGTTTTAGAAGCCAAGTTATATTTACTTAAGATGCTTACCCTTGGGGCTTAATCTCAAAATTCTTTCAGCAAAAATGAGACTCAATGAGGCCAAGATGTTATAAAACCTAACTAAATTTGTAACATTTTCATTTTGAACACGAACAATCTGTCTTGTTGCTGCTCATTAGCTACATAGGCAGTCTTTATAAGAATAGCATAAGACTACAGGAAATCTAAGCTATGGCTACTTTTCCTTTTTTAAATTATGGAATTTGTAAAGCAAGTGGTTTGGAACCTCTAAACACTTAAACCACTTGATATTTCTTAGTGGAATGAGTTCCAAAAGAGGCTTAAGCAAGTTTCTGACCAAACTTCATATTCTGAATCATCATAATCAGATGAGAAATACTTCGAAATGAGCTTGTATGGGCTAAGAGGTCTACTGGATGGTAGATGTGATGTGAGTAGATGTGACGAAGTAGGAAAAAGATGAATCTATGCCTTGATCTTGGTATTTATAAGTAGCTTTGACATCTGGAGTAGCAGAGAGGAAACTTCTACTGCTTGTGTGTGTGTGTGTGTGTGTGTGTGTGTGTGTGTGTGTGCGCGTGTGTGTGTGATATGATTTTCCATAAGTGTTTTATTTTTAGTTTAGGAACATCTTGCTCAAATAGATGAGATCAGACAGAAGTGAATGTATTATCCCCATGTCAGAGATACCAACTTGATGCAACTGTACATATCATCAAGAAACCAAAGAGGTGCTTGTTGTTCAGTTAGCAGATCTTTGCCAAACCCAACTGGCCCTTATTTTTGTCTTCCCAGTTCCTTGACTTGTAACTCTCACCGACATCTCTTTTAAGGAGTTTGTGTATGTCCAAAGATGTACAAACTCAAGTAGAAAAAAGTACATAGAAAAAATGTGCTATCATTGGACCACAGCAGCATCAGCCCATCTGGAGCCCTACCTAGATGGGACCTCAGCAGCCATGCACTCCAGCTCCCTCACTTTACATTTGAGGGAACTAAAGCCCAGGTTGTTAAATAACTTGCCTAAAGTCACACGTGGAGTCAAACTAATTTTAATACAACTGATGAACTAAAGACTCTTTAGATGAGACAAAAAGACAAATGCAATAACTAAGTTAGTGTCAGTATATGGCAAGAGCTTGGGACTGTAGAAGGTCTGAGAAGAGGTACCTCCTTCCTCCTGTTGGGGACATGGGTTCAAACGTGTCTGCAGAAATAGTCACTTTATCAGTTGGTTTTGCTTAACTGCTCTTTGTTACAAAAGAAGGAGTGCTGAGAGTGGGGTAGGGAGAGGAAATCTATTCTAAAATGATTATGATATTTAAGCAAATAGCATCAAAACTTTTAAAAAACTAAAACATAAAGGAAAGCAGGTAAGTAGAGAGAAAAATATATTGGGCATAAGTAAAAAACAAACAAAATTTTGAATGCTGTTCCACAAGTCAGTTGGTCTAATGGAAATAAAAATATGGTGATTAAGTCTTCATTAAGACATTACCTTAAGTAAGTTTGCTAACACCTCAATCACACAATGAGCACTTATTGTGTTCCACATGCCAGGCAAAATGCTAAACAAAAGTTCCTGCCCTCAAGGAACTTATATTCTATCAGAATATCTAAGAATTCAAGAATTGTTTCATTTCATGAAAAATTACTGAATTTGCCCGTCAAAAACAAGATAAAACTCAACAGAGAAAAATGTTAGGGATTTATGCATCAATGTCTAGGAGACAGGGTGGGAATGACCAGTCAGGTACAAGTACAAAAGAAAAATCTTAGGGCTTTTAGGAGACCACAATTTCAATATTGGTCAATAATAAAATATTGATTTTTAAAAAGGAATTGATAAAAGGATGCCTCAAAAGATCTCCAAAATGGTTCTACTAAATCATTATTTCACAAAGCAAGCTTTTCTCTATAACCCAAAGTGGTTCAAAGATAGAGGTTCTACTTACTTAGGGGTTGCATCACCAACGAGGGTCATGAGGCACTTACAATGAATTTAATGATTTCAATCATCACAGAAATGACTACAAGTTTGGAAAATTAGATGGATAAGGATGGTTCCAATACAATGCTCTTCAATCTTTATTAAGCAGCATGTGAACAAAATAAAAGAATGAGAATGGTTTCTTTTGGAAAAGAGAAGGCAGAGGGTTATGCAAATATATCAAATTCTATGCAGCAGATGGTGGCTGTTTGGATCTGGTTTCTCCCATACCAGATGTCTCTTTGCTGGGACTTTGAGCAGTGTGGATTGTGCCATTCAATGGTAGAAAATCCACGAGGGACAGTATGAGACGACTGGATGGACTCAGAGGATAATTGTTGAGAGTCAAGAGTTAACTGGTTAACACAGCAGCTGATATCTCTCCCTTCACCATAATGGACTAGCCACTGTCTCATGAACAAGATAAGAACCACATACTGTACTTTTCTCCCTTCTTTCTTGGTGTTAAGAATTAGTGTTTCTTTATACATACCCACATATGAATGCCATGATGAAAAAACATTGTCAGGGCATGTGATATAGTTAATTGAAAGCAACACCAATGAAGCGTACACAGTGTTATTTCTCCCTCGTGATAAATAGCATTGCTTTGGTGGTGCTCAGTACATTAGAAAGAATATGCTGTAATACAGCCACTTACTTTCATCTTCGGTCGTGCTCCAGTTGGCATTGGGTTTGGCACAAAATCTAGACCCAGGGCACTTTCCTCCTTATTTCTACAAATTCCCTTGCTTTGATGATCTTTATTAAGCACACTTTCCACTTTTATAGAACTCTGTTCAGGGAGAGAGACAGAAAAAAAATATAGAAAGCATTTTTGTTAAATATCCTCCATTATAGTCTTACTCCTAATAGTGGCTAGGAGATGAACCCGCTGTGTCAGAAACAGGTCCTACAAAGCTAGAAAAACTTCGAGTGTGGGGACAGCAACTGAGGGTGAATGTTATCCTGGGATCAGTCTCACAAAGGCTGGAAATGCTCATGTCTTCAGGAAGATGAATTTTTCAGCTACAGAAACAGCTGTTAAGTTACTGAGAGGCTGCAGCCTGTATTGGTGGAGGAGTAGTTACACCAGTGAAATCAGAGCTCCTTTAGTACTGAAAAATATTGGTAAGATACAAACTTCAAAGACCCATGATTTTTTTAATTCAATTTAATTCAACAAACACTTATTAAGTACCTGCTATGCAAAGGACATTGTGCTGGGTGAGCATACAAAGACACAAAGGAAATAATCCTTTCCTTCAAAGAGGGCAGAGAGGTAGCAAAGTGGATAAAGGGTCAGGCCTGGAGTCAGGAAAACCTGAGTTCAAATTCGGCCCTAGATTCAACCTGCTCTTTACTATGAGGATCAAATGAGATAATAATTGTAAAGCACTTAGCACAGTGTCTATCATATAATAAGCACTATATAAATGTAACTTATTTTATATATGTACATATGTATGTACATATATACAAGGTAAATTCAAAGTTAATTTTGGGGAGCAATAATAGTAATAATGACTGGCATTTATATAACACTTTAAGGTTTTCAAAACATTTTACATATGCTATTTCATTTGATCCTCTCAATAACTCTGTGAGGCAGGTGGTATTATTACCTCTACTTTACACATGATGAAATTGAGACTAAGAGAAGTCAATGACCTGCCCAGGGTCATACAGCTAACAAGAGCCTGAGGCAGGATTGTACTCAACTCTTCTTAATTCCATGTCCAACATTCTGGCTTCATATAGGAAGTGGCCCTTGAAATTCAAAGGAAGTTAAGGATTCCAAGAGACAGAATCACAGAGGGGCATGGCAAAGGCATGGCGGAAGGAAATGAGATGCGTAGAAGGAACAGCTGATACGTCATTTTGGCAGAAATGTCCAGTATGTGCATGGAGTGGTGTAAATTTGAATGTGGATATTTCCTCCACCAATGCAGATTACAACATATCTAAACTTCAGAAGAAATTCTCCTTGAATTGCTCTGATAGAGACAATTGGAGACATCAGGACTTTGCTAGACCAGTCTTCAGGCAACAGACATACAGTCCATCATCCTACCACTGACCCGTACTAGCTTGGGTTGGTAAGGGACCTTGGGCTCCCTGACATTCAGTTTCCTAACATGTGAATGAGAATGAAAGGGGGAAGGGAATAAGCATTTATACAGTGCTTCCTAGGTGCCAGGCACTGTGGTTAGTGCCTTACAAATAGCACTTATTTATCCAGCTCCAGATCACCCAGGTTCAACACACATTCTACGATGAGGCACTGGCAGGAAAATTTTGCTGAAAGGTAAAATACAGAGTTGGTTTTAGCCAATTCAATTAGATAAATATTTATTAGTGAAGGAGGATGTTTATTAAGCATTTCTATGCTATGCAGGGACTGTGATAAATGATAGGGACACAAAGTTTAAAAATGACATTGAACGAGTTCTGAAAATGCCTGCAAACTAATAAGGCTATAATATGTATAATATAATACAAATAAGTAAGAATGATTCATGGTAATAACAATAATGGTTATAGCTATAATTTACATAATAGTTTAATGTTGGAAAAGCCCTTTACATAGCTAGGATGTGTTAAGGGCAAAGGAGAAAACTTGACAAAGTACTATGGATAATTTAAGAAGGGAGAGATCATTTTCATATAGAGGGATCAGGGAAGACTTCCTGGAAGAGGAGGCACTTGAGCTGGACTTTGAAAAATGTAGGGTGCATCAAAACTCAAAAGCAACTAATTGCAATTAATTCAATTTAAATTGTGGGGACCCATGTTCTATAGAATATTATTAGCATAAATAATGACAGTGGAATAGAAGAACAATATTGACTTTCAGTATCTTCTTATTTTACTTTAAAAAGTTTACCTTGGGGCAGCTAGGTGGTGCAGTGAATAGAGCACTGGCCCTGGAGTCAGGAGGACCTGAGTTCAAATCTGTCCTCAGTCACATAACACTTACTAGCTATGTAACCCTGGGCAAGTCACTTAACCCTCTTGCCTAGCCTAAAAAAAAAAGTTTATCTTAAAAATGACAAGCAGAATGATTTCAGAAAAACCTGGAAAGACTGATATGAACTGATGCCTAGTGAAGTGAACAGAATCAGGAGAACATTGTACACAGTAATAGCAATATTGTATGATGAAGAACTGTGAATGACTTAGCTATTTTCAGCAATACAATGATCCAAGACAATCCCAAAGGACTCATGATGAAAAAATGCTATCCTTCTCCAGAGAAAGAACTGATGTCTGAAAACAGACTGAAGCACATCCTTTTTCACTTTCTTTCTTTGTTCAAGTCTTCTTACCCAAAAGACTAATCTGGAAATGTTTCTACACGATTGTATATGTATTAGCTATATCAGATTGCTTACCATCTCAAAGGGGAAAGAGGGAGAGAAGGAGAGAGGGAGAGATAGAATTTGTAACTGAAAACTTAAAAACAAAGAATGTTGAAAAATTGTTTTTACATGTAATTAGGAAAAATAAAATAGTCTTAAAAATAAAAAGTTTCCACTTTAAAAAAGTAACTTCATAAATATATATATATATAATAAACAAAAGAATAATTTTAAAAAATAAAATATTTGTGTTATAGATAATACAAAGGTAAATAAAATACTAATGTTGTGTCAAAAATAAGTTTATTTTAACTTAATGCGATCATCTCTAGTAAAGGCTGATAGCCAGGTCCCAAATTAAAAAAAATTAAAAGCTATTGACAAAAAAATATATAAACCAAAGGTATGATCAGATTCTTTAGTGTGCATCTTTCTCCAAATAATATATTAAAAATCTCACTCAAAACTCTTTAAGTTGTCAATAGAAATTATAGTACAGGATGGTTTTCAATTTTTAAAACAGTTTATTTTTTCTAGTTACATGCATATACAATTTTTAACACTTTTTAAAATTTTGAGTTCCAAATTCCCTCCTTCTTGTCCCTTCCCTCTTATTGAGAAGGTAAGCAACTTGATATAGGTTATGCATGGGCAGTCATGCAGAACATATTTCAGTATTAGACATGTTAAAGAAAATACAGACTCAGGAAATCCCCCCCCCAAAAAAGAAAAAAATTTGAAGTATGCTTCTACCTGTTTTCAGACTCCCTCAGTTGCTTCTTTGGAGGTAGAGAGTATTTTTTTTTTTATCATAAGTCTTTCAGAATTGTCTTGGATCACTGCGTTACTGAAAACAGGTAAGTCATTCACAGTTGATCATTGTACAATATTGTTGTTACCATGTACACTGTTCTCCTGATTCTGTTCATTTCACTTTGTATCAGTTCATATAAGTCTTTCCAGGTTTTTCTGAAAGCTTTCTACTTGTCATTTCTTTCTTTCTTTTTTTTTAAAATATAAATTTATTTATTTTTAGTCTTCAACATTCACTCCCACAAGTTTTTGAATTCCAAAATTTCACCCCATCTCCCCCCTCCCCCACCCTAAGATGGCATGCATTCTGAATATCCCTTCCCCTAGTCTGTCCTCTCTTCTATCTCTCACCCCTTCTCTTATCCCCTTCCCCTTCTATTTTCCTGTAGGGCAGGATAGACTTCTGTACCCCATTTCCTGTATTTCTTATTTCCCAGTAGCATGTGAAAACATTTTTTTAAACATATGTTTTTAAAACTTTAGGTTTCAAATTTTCTCTCTTCCTCCCTCCCCACCCACCCTCATTGAAAAGGCAAGCAACTCAATATAGGTTGTATACGTGCAGTTGTGCAAAACACTTCCTTAGTAGACATGCTGTGAAAAACTAACTCTATTTCCCTTAATCTTATCCTGCCCTCCCATTTATTCTATTCTTTCTTTTGACCCTGTCCTTCCTCAGAAGTATTTACTTCTGATTACCCCCTTTCCCAATCTGCCCTCCTCTCTATCATCCCCCTGCTCTCTTCTTCCCTTCTCCCCCTATTTTCCTGTAGGGTAAGACAGATTTCCATACCCAATTGAATGTGTATGTTATTCCCTCCTTAAGCCAAATCCTATGAGAATAAGAGTCACTCATTCCCTCTCACCTTCCCCTGTTTCCCCTCCACTGTAAGAGACTTTTCTTTTCTGTTTTTTTTTGTGAGATAATTTACCCCATTCTACCTCTCCCTTTCTTCTTCTCCAAGTATAATCCTCTGTCATCCCTTAATTTTATTCTCCAGATATGACCCCTTAATCTTCAACTCACCCTGTGCCCTCTATCTATCTATCTACATATAAATACATATAATTTTTTTCTTCCAACTATCCTCATACTGACAAAGGTCTCATGAGTTATAAATATCATCTTTCCTTGCAGGAATGTAAACAGTTCAATCTTAATAAGTCTCTTATGATTTCTCTTTCCTGTTTACCTCTTCATGTTCCACTGGAGTCCTGTGTTTGAAAGTCAAATTTTCTATTCAGCTCTGGTCTTTTCATCAAAAATGATTGAAAGTCCTCTATTTCACTGAATGACTATTTTTTCCCCTGAAGAATTATACTCAGTTTTGCTGCGTAGGTGATTCTTGGTTGTAATCCTATCTCCTTTGCTCTCCGGAATATTGTATTCCATGCCCTGCGGTCCTTTAATGTAGAAGCTGCTAAATCTTGTGTTATCCTGATTGTGTTTCCACAGTACTTGAACTGTTTCCTTCTGGTAGCTTGTAATATTTTCTCCTTGACCTGGGAACTCTGGAATTTGACTATAATATTCCTAGGAGTTTTCCTTTGGGGATCTCTTTCAGGAGGAGATCTGTGGATTCTTTCAATTTCTATTTTGCCCTCTGGTTCTAAAATATCA